TACCGGGATGTATTTTCTATTTCCGCTAAGGAAGCTCAGAGGATATTAGGCATGAAACAATTCTACTGATGGGCTTGTGTTACAGGACGACGGATGATGCACAAGAGGTGTGGATGTATTTGATATGCTTGCCTCAATACTTTTGGGATGAGGTGACTTTCAGATTAATTGGGACTTTTGCAGTGGCTACATTAGAGTTGATGAGGCAACAACCATCAGAGCTCACTTCTAATGAGCCAGATTCTGCACTGATGGAAGTGGTGATTGAATTCTGACTTTGGTGATTATTGAAGTGGGTCCGGTGAAGTTAGAAATCCTAGTGCGAAAGGAGGTCAGTCTATGTGTGGTGTGTAGAATGAATATAAGAGGGGGATGCCAAAATGGAAAGAGATGGAGGTGCATAGGGGTCAATCACTGGAGGCACCTGAGTTCAAATGGTAGGTAGGGTTGGAAGAACATTGGGAAAAAGAGGGGGGTTTTGAAATTCAAAATCGGACAATTGATCTGTTGTTGAATGTGGTTGTGGTTCGACCATGTAGTCGGGTGCCTAAACACTTCTGATTGAATATGATAAAGCCTTGGGTGGGTTTGTGGAAGATCATTATGAAGGTGAGGGAGAATTTTTCTAAGCTTACATGCTTTAGAGTGGGGAGTGGGTATAAAGTGAATTTTTGGCAAGATGGTGTGGTTACAGGCCTTTTTGGGGAAGTTTTCCTAGGTTTCTATGGGAGGATTGTGGTGAATAAAGAAGGTTTTTTAATAGAGGAATGTGGGACTCTATCTGCTACACAAATGGTGTGCGCACGTGTGTTTTGTAGAGCATTATGGGATTGGGAGGTGGTGTTAGTTGAGACATTTTGTGCTATGCGGGTGGGTGAGTCTATTTATGGGGAGGACAGAATTGTGCAGAAGGGAACTAAGAATGGAATTTTCGTAGAAGTCTCCTTTTATTGGTGTTTAATCGCCTTATAGCATGTCATTTGACTCATTTTAGCTAAACGTGCTCTAACTCACCTTTGTAAAATGTGAATGTGCTGTCCTGCTAGCTTCATGTTGCATTATGGAATTAAACTACAATGGTGGATGGTTACATCAGTTGAAGCTCATAGGAACATTTGAAATCTCTTTTGCACACAAGTTGCCAACTACTAATTGGTTTATACTAATATGCACTTTGGACATTTGTTTGACTAAAAAATTTAGGAGTATTTGGTTGATACTAATATGCACTTCAGATATTTGCTTGACTAAATAATGCATTTTAGGAAGGCTATGAAGCATTCTCGTCTTGACATGATCTTCTGGTTATAGTCTATGTGGCCATATGTGCTTGAATCCTTTGGCTGGGATAGAGCAGAAAGCAAAACTGAATTCGTTCAACCAACTCCAATATAGTTGGGTACTATGGAAGGCACTTGTGGAGTTGATTAAGATATTTTATTTATTGACATTCGAGGTCTCATCACATTCATCATTCTACAACCTCTCTCTCTCTCTCTCACACACACACACACACACACATTCTTGCTTTCTGTATGTGTGTGTTCATGTGTTGCCCAAATGTGTGTGGATATGTTGATCACAATTTCTGAGAGTTTTCTTGGTTGTACCTTTTCTTTTTCCAGTTTTTTGGGAGGTGGAGATTGATTTTAAGAATAGAAAGTTCTGTTTAAATTTTATGAACAAAATGTAATAGTATGTTTGACCATGATGTATTCCAATTTTGAGTCAATAGATGTATCTTCCAATATGTTACAGGGAAACTTTTAGGAGCTGTAATCTTCGATTATTTAGTCATGTCTGGACTCTACTAAGCTTGTTTCACATACTTATTATGTCATCTACAGCGAGTTACAAGGCCAAGAGGAGGAGTCAATGAGTGGCTTCACTGGCTCCCAGTTTCTCTCCACAAAAAGTTAGATTACATCATCAGGCAGATTTATGGTTACTCGCGAATTTCGTTAGCTGGCAGAGGGAAGAAACTTGTCTCTCGGCCTATCGAAAATGGTGGCAGTGTGGGCTTATCATCTGTCTTAGAAGCTGATGTCAAGAAGATTGTGACCATGGCTCATGAGACTTTTGAGAAGTATGTTCTTCCTCTCCTTGCATCTACCATACTTAAACCATAGTTGTCAAATCGGGATTAGTATTGTGAATCGAAATGGATTCGTACTGAATCGCAAATTGAATCAAATCGTGAATCGTAAAGATCAGTCACTTTTTCTAAATTATTTAAAAACATATATGTACACATTTAGATATTAAATATATCTTATGAATATAAAATATCTAGACTTAAATCAATGAAAATGTTATTTTAAAATCTACAAAGCAACATAAATTAATGTGGTCAGAGAAAATTAAACATGCTTGAGAAAATTAAACCACGACCAAAGCCACAACTATCTGGTGTATTGAACCATTGTTAATGGAAACATTTTGTAGACTAAGAACTGAAAGGTATGGTTCAATACAAAGCATGATACATGCACCCCATTTAGGATCCTAGATGCATGAAGTAAGATTAGATAACCAGAGATGTAACCATGATGGTTAATGGCTTATTTTAAGTGGTTTCTAACTAAATAAATCAATCCAGCCACAAAAAATCCCAGAGAAATTTTCAATAGCTGAGAAAATTAAACATACGAGTACATAACTAGCCAGAGAAAATCAACAAAGCAACATAAATTAAACATATCAGAGAAAATTACACAACATAGAAATTTGAATGAATTGAACTTGAATCAAATTTGAAGGAAAGAGAGGTTGGTGTATATTAAAAAATGTAAGGGAGCAGAGAAATTTAAAAACAACAGAGAAATTTTCAATAGAAAATCAATTCTAAAGAGATAAAATCAATTCCACAGTGAATTCCAACAAATAAATAAATGTAGCCACAAAAAAATATAGAGAAATTTTCAATAACTGAGAAAATTACACATAGAAGTACAAAATAGACAGAGAAAATCAAAGTAGCCACAAAAACATAAATAAATGGAGAAATAAACATGCTAGAGAAAATTCAAAGAAAAAACATAAATCAAGCAAGCCATAGAAAATTTAAATGCTAGAGAAATTTACATACACAAACACACAACAAGCTTCAAGAATAAGTTCAAAACGCAAAGAAATTTCATTTTTCAAATTTACCTGGTTTTTATTACAAAATTGAAACCATAATTAATTGAAGGCTATTATAAAATCCAATTAACTTTGTTTCCAGGAGAGAGAGAGAGAGAGAGAGAGAGAGAGAGAGAGAGAGAGAGAGAAAAGAAAAAAAAACTAATTGATTTGTAGAAAAACTTACCAGAGTGAGGATGAAATCCTAATTACGAACTGATATGCTCTGAGATAAAGGTGCACTGTGATGAATATGAGTTGAGATGATGATGAACAGTGAAAATGTGTTAGAAAAATTTGTGAGGAAGGAATCACAAAGATTTTCGCGGAAGATGATGAAATCCTAATGTCGCTGTTCTCTCAATTGTAGATATCAGTTGTGGAAAGCTAGTCATCGGAATCCAGTTCACTTTTCTTGGTTGATTGTGAATGGTATTTTGGTCCAAAAAATGAATGAAAAGCGTGCGTGTTTTGGTTCAAGGACATGAGTCATCATCTATTTTTTAATATCTTTTATCGTCTAAATTATTATTACCTTAAAAAAAATCATCACTTTTTTATTAAATTTAAATTTAATGACAGATTTAAAGGATTGGAGATGGCCAAACAATCAAGGATGACAAATCAATCCAGATAAGTTCCAAATCACATAACCATTTTCAATTTGGAAAATTTTAGTTGCATTCAGTAGAACTTTAAAATTATGATTTGAAAATAAAGTTGTATCTTAAGTTTGTGAGTGTTGGAATTATGATTTGAAAAGAGAAAATTTGTTTGATTATGAGTTTTGAAAAGATTTTTCAATTGAGTTTTGAGTTTTTGATGTGACATATAAAAAGAAAAAATTTGTTTGGTTATGAATTTTGAAAGAGTTTTCAAAACTTAATTTAAAAACTTATAACTCATAATCAAACACACAACTCAAAACTCTATTGAAAATTCAACTCAAAACTCATAACCACACTCTTTTGGAATTCAATTCAAAAAAATAATTTGTCATTTTAGTCTAAAAAAATAATTTCTATATTTAAAAATATCAAATATATATATATATATATATATTTCCAAATAACAGGTGGCGATTGACAAATTGCAAAAAAAAAAAAAAAAAAAATACTGTTTCAGTTAACCGGCCGGACAACCGGGTAGACCCAAAAAAATTTGAAAACTCACTGGGAGGAACTCTACCAAACGTGTTGTGAAAGGTGTTTTGAAATGTGATGTTAGAATCAGTTTTTGAAAACTCCATCTAAACAAAGGCTTCGCGTATGAGGGTGGAACTAGGATTCCAAAGCTACACCAAACATAGCCTTTATTTCTACACATTTAATTATCTCAGTGCACATCTTCTTTCAGTACACACACTTATTAATTTGATTATTAATTAATTTTCTCAATCTACACACTGAAAGTTACAATTATACCCTTCACTTATAATCATTGTACATACACTACTCAACTCTCATTTCCACACACTTATTGAGTGACCTTACTTCCAATTTGTAGACCCAGGTGAAGATCATTCAAGACCACGGTGTGAAGTGAGGACAAAGTCCTCCATTGAAGACCTTATTGAACCTCCATTAAAAATCCTTCAAAATATTGTTAAAGATGAGACATATTTCTATTTTGTTATTGCATTTACCATTTCCAAATCTCTGTGCACTCCATTGCCATAAAACTCTTGTTTTTATTTTTATTTTTTTATGTTTTTCAGTTTGGGGATTTCGGCACTGATTTTCCAAAATTATACAGTTAATTTAAAACTTAACTTCCAAATAAAAATAATTAATTCGACAAATTTGTCCTAAAAAAAAACTTAATTTTTTTAATATAAATTGTTAGCTTTTTTATTTTATTTTTTTAGTAAAAACGTTACTTCCCAAACGAGCCTTAGTGTGTGGAGGAATTTCCCTCAGTTTGTCTCAGAGAAGCAGCCCATCTCACAGACGCAACTGTCTCCCTTTCGCTCAAAAAATACCGAACTTGTACAGCAATTCAAGCTCCCTCGCTTACGCCCTGCTACAGTCTTCTTCTTCTTCTTCTTCTTCTTCTTCTTCACAGAAACCCTCCAAATCCAAACAGCACATACATATATTCCTATATCTATATCTATATTTTTCTCGAATTGACTTGAATCCAATTCGATTTGGATTTTATTTGTTTTTTTGGTTGGAGGGTTTTGGTTAGACAAGGTAAGTAGATGAAGCCAATCAGGCTTCCCGAACCTCCCGGAAGCCCCATCCAGGGCTTGCCTGACATCTTCGAAGGCGGCGTTTACGGTGTCATCAGACGCGCCGTCGTCATCGGCAACGGTTTTCCTGCTTCCGAGAACCAAAGCATCGGCCTTATTCGCGCCCTCGGCCTCTCCGAGAAACAAACGCTATACGTGAGTTCTGTTTCTTTCTTGTGTTTGGTTGCTAGGAAAATCTTCTCACTTTTCCTTTTTTCTTAATTGATTTTCTGTTCAGAAATTAACCTCTCTTTTTTTTCCCAAAGATATTTGGCTGTATTGTGTAGTGAGTTATTGAGTGGGAAATCAGGAACGGTTTGGTGAGTTATTATTATAAATAAATTCAGTAATGTGTATTTATATGTTGAAATTCAATTTGTTTGCATCAATTTCTGTTGAATTTTGATGTTATTGCCTTGAAATATGCATAGTGGGGGTTCGGGTTCAGGTTCGGAACTGAGATAGCCTGAAGGAAGTGGAACCCTAATCTTGGAAGGCAATGGTCGAGTGGGAGGGAGAAGCGTTTATTAGAGTCCTTTCGGATGTAGACGTAGGTGGATAAGCGATAAAGGAGTATTGACGGGATTCGTGTATGTAACCTTACCGGGATGTATTTTCTATTTCCGCTAAGGAAGCTCAGAGGATATTAGGCATGAAACAATTCTACTGATGGGCTTGTGTTACAGGACGACGGATGATGCACAAGAGGTGTGGATGTATTTGATATGCTTGCCTCAATACTTTTGGGATGAGGTGACTTTCAGATTAATTGGGACTTTTGCAGTGGCTACATTAGAGTTGATGAGGCAACAACCATCAGAGCTCACTTCTAATGAGCCAGATTCTGCACTGATGGAAGTGGTGATTGAATTCTGACTTTGGTGATTATTGAAGTGGGTCCGGTGAAGTTAGAAATCCTAGTGCGAAAGGAGGTCAGTCTATGTGTGGTGTGTAGAATGAATATAAGAGGGGGATGCCAAAATGGAAAGAGATGGAGGTGCATAGGGGTCAATCACTGGAGGCACCTGAGTTCAAATGGTAGGTAGGGTTGGAAGAACATTGGGAAAAAGAGGGGGGTTTTGAAATTCAAAATCGGACAATTGATCTGTTGTTGAATGTGGTTGTGGTTCGACCATGTAGTCGGGTGCCTAAACACTTCTGATTGAATATGATAAAGCCTTGGGTGGGTTTGTGGAAGATCATTATGAAGGTGAGGGAGAATTTTTCTAAGCTTACATGCTTTAGAGTGGGGAGTGGGTATAAAGTGAATTTTTGGCAAGATGGTGTGGTTACAGGCCTTTTTGGGGAAGTTTTCCTAGGTTTCTATGGGAGGATTGTGGTGAATAAAGAAGGTTTTTTAATAGAGGAATGTGGGACTCTATCTGCTACACAAATGGTGTGCGCACGTGTGTTTTGTAGAGCATTATGGGATTGGGAGGTGGTGTTAGTTGAGACATTTTGTGCTATGCGGGTGGGTGAGTCTATTTATGGGGAGGACAGAATTGTGCAGAAGGGAACTAAGAATGGAATTTTCGTAGAAGTCTCCTTTTATTGGTGTTTAATCGCCTTATAGCATGTCATTTGACTCATTTTAGCTAAACGTGCTCTAACTCACCTTTGTAAAATGTGAATGTGCTGTCCTGCTAGCTTCATGTTGCATTATGGAATTAAACTACAATGGTGGATGGTTACATCAGTTGAAGCTCATAGGAACATTTGAAATCTCTTTTGCACACAAGTTGCCAACTACTAATTGGTTTATACTAATATGCACTTTGGACATTTGTTTGACTAAAAAATTTAGGAGTATTTGGTTGATACTAATATGCACTTCAGATATTTGCTTGACTAAATAATGCATTTTAGGAAGGCTATGAAGCATTCTCGTCTTGACATGATCTTCTGGTTATAGTCTATGTGGCCATATGTGCTTGAATCCTTTGGCTGGGATAGAGCAGAAAGCAAAACTGAATTCGTTCAACCAACTCCAATATAGTTGGGTACTATGGAAGGCACTTGTGGAGTTGATTAAGATATTTTATTTATTGACATTCGAGGTCTCATCACATTCATCATTCTACAACCTCTCTCTCTCTCTCTCACACACACACACACACACACATTCTTGCTTTCTGTATGTGTGTGTTCATGTGTTGCCCAAATGTGTGTGGATATGTTGATCACAATTTCTGAGAGTTTTCTTGGTTGTACCTTTTCTTTTTCCAGTTTTTTGGGAGGTGGAGATTGATTTTAAGAATAGAAAGTTCTGTTTAAATTTTATGAACAAAATGTAATAGTATGTTTGACCATGATGTATTCCAATTTTGAGTCAATAGATGTATCTTCCAATATGTTACAGGGAAACTTTTAGGAGCTGTAATCTTCGATTATTTAGTCATGTCTGGACTCTACTAAGCTTGTTTCACATACTTATTATGTCATCTACAGCGAGTTACAAGGCCAAGAGGAGGAGTCAATGAGTGGCTTCACTGGCTCCCAGTTTCTCTCCACAAAAAGTTAGATTACATCATCAGGCAGATTTATGGTTACTCGCGAATTTCGTTAGCTGGCAGAGGGAAGAAACTTGTCTCTCGGCCTATCGAAAATGGTGGCAGTGTGGGCTTATCATCTGTCTTAGAAGCTGATGTCAAGAACATTGTGACCATGGCTCATGAGACTTTTGAGAAGTATGTTCTTCCTCTCCTTGCATCTACCATACTTAAACCATAGTTGTCAAATCGGGATTAGTATTGTGAATCGAAATGGATTCGTACTGAATCGCAAATTGAATCAAATCGTGAATCGTAAAGATCAGTCACTTTTTCTAAATTATTTAAAAACATATATGTACACATTTAGATATTAAATATATCTTATGAATATAAAATATCTAGACTTAAATCAATGAAAATGTTATTTTAAAAATTGCATGAATCGTAAAAAGTCAATTGATTCTGAATCGTGTGATTCACTAGAGATTCATTTCCAAAATAGATTCACCCATAGATTCGTATCGATTTTGCAAAAATTGCGAATTGAATCACAAATCGTAAGATTCTGATAACAAAGCTTAAAAATGTTTGTGAGTGTAGAGAGATATATTTACAACTAAGATTTCATACACTACGGAAAAATGGTTCGAAAAACCAAATAAACGTTTGTAGTTGTAACTTTTTATGATGATTACTATTCAGGATTATGACAAATAACATATAATGTGGACTTTGCTTTTTTAATAAATGGACCAATTTGATGAATATGGAAATGCAATGCAGGTGGTGCCAAGGTTTCAGAACACATGAAAACTAACAGAAATAGCATATTTAGATATGTGGGTTGTTACTCCTTCCATATTGAAGAAATATTGTGGAAAATGGAGAGTTGATGCTTCTGCAAACAAGAATTTGGTTAACTAGTTAATAAGAGATCTCAAGAATTTTATGATTGAAATGAAAACCAAAAGAGCCTATGAGTCAAAAAGTAGCCATTGTTGACTAATTAATTGAAGTACTAATGGTGCTCCATTCGCCTTAAATATATTGGTAATATGTGCTAATTGCTTATGCACATCAAACTGTCTGACTAATGCAATTGTCCAAGAGGTGTTGCACATGCTGGAGCAACACTTGCTCAAGCTAGATGCTGTATGACCGTAGTACTATCTCAATCCAGATAGCATTACAGTTGCTTGCATCCCAATGAAGTATTACTGATAATCGCCTAGAGGGAAACCTATATTTGGACTCCTCATAAGTCATAACTTCAACAATTTGATCTCCATGAGTTGGTGGTGTAACAATATCAACACTTGTGCAAACACCAATAGACAAAAGAGGAGGTTCTGAGTTGTCTCAGTCAAGTAAAATATCCTCCTCGTGAAATATTGGACCAGTATTTAAATTTTGAATCCTATCAATCTAGAAATTTACTCATGTTTGGCATGGGTTGATTTTCACTTGGCGTCTGTAGTGGATAAAGGAGAGGAGGGATGGAGTTTGTAATGACCCACCATTTGTTAAGTTAAATATACAAAAAAGATGGTTGATTTGCAGCTGAGGCTGATATGGGGTTGTCAAGTGCCTGAATAGCAGACTTACTATATATATATGTATATATGTAAAGGTGAGTTCACTTGTCATAACCTTCCCAAATACAATTTAATGAGAGAGATAATAGAATTACTTTTGTTGTTATATTTATGTTATGTCTCGCTTGGTTTTCAGCAACTATACTTCTTGTGACATCATATTTTGCGTGGTACTCTGATTCTTATTTGGGACGCAGAAATTGAAGGAACTGCTCTGCTGATTAGCATTTTATTTAACCAAACACAATGGTTCTATCTTCTAATTTGAAATGCATTTATAGCAGTATAGCTAATGATAAAATGTTTTTTTCCTAATTTGTTGTAAACTTAATTGGCTCTCTGATAATGATCATGTAACTTCGTTCAGGGACGGCCCTTTACTGGTGGTTGCGTCAGGTAGAGATACCATATCAGTTGCAAGTGCCATAAAGAGATTAGCATCTGAAATTGTGTTTGTTGTTCAGGTCTACATTGTCTTTCACCTTCTCTATTCTTAGTTGCCTATTGTTTACAGCAGCCATGTGCACATTTTATGTTTGCAAAATAGCAAATATTGAGACCACTGGCTGATTTGAATGGTCAAAGTTTGTTTTAATGGCCTTGCTGTTTGCTTTCCTTTATATTATGAATATGATACATACATCCTAGGCATGTTTAACTCATGGTGCACTGAATAGTGTCTAATGCATATGTGGTTTCTTCCTTTTACTGTTGTAGTTGATCGTGCATCATGCCAAAGGGTCAGAATTTAAAAGTACCTCTCCCCTTGCTTCCCACTCCACAAATTTCCAAAATAAAAATGCTATAAGCAGCTCCATAAGCTGCACCAAACAGCCCCAAAACTGGAGCTGGAGGCCTTTTTGTTGTCTGCCAAAACCTTATTTTTTTTGTTGTTATACATATTCATGGGCTTATTAGGGAACTAAAATTTTTAATTGCATGCTGATGGATAACTTTATTTTGAAATAATGTACTGATTTTAAAATGAAAGTGAATCTTTTTTTAGAAGGTTAGTTGCGTACCTGTGGATTCAACTTTATGCACATCTGTGCCAACTGCTGTGATGCGGGCTGTGTTTTGACTTCTAGAGTATCTTTTTATTTAATGTCAAAATAAATACGTTACTTTTGCTCTTCTTTTGCAAATTTTGGTTTCAGATTCAACACCCAAGGACCCATTTAGAAAGATTTGACATGGTCATCACTCCTCATCATGATTATTATCCTTTGACTGCTCATGCACAAGAGCAGATTCCTCGGTTTCTCCACAAGTGGATAACTCCACGTGAAGCTCCTGATAGGCATGTGGTATATCTCTTGACTATTAATCACTCACTAAAATGGGTTTTTCTATATGAAAAGCTTTTCCTTTTTAAGTGAATTTTAGTTCTGCAACCTGCTGAATGTTTTTTGTGTCCCAGGTCCGCACTGTAGGAGCTCTTCATCAAGTTGATTTTGCTGCACTGCGGGGTGCAGCTAATGCCTGGCATGATGAGTTTGCACCTCTGCCAAAGCCCTTACTCGTGGTTAACATTGGAGGACCTACAAGTAATTTTTTTCCTATATTAATGTTAGATTTACCCTACTGAGATTTTGCATTTGGATGTTAATTTTTGGTTGTTGTTTATTGATTTTAATTTCTGTACGCATTTTGAATTGGTTTTCTTGCTAAAATAGTAGTTATTTTGGATTCTTGGTTTGTTGAAAATTTCCCTCTCACTGACATTGGTACCCAAGTACAGGTCAAGGCATAATATCACGGTTGTCACAGTTTCAATAGTACATATTAGTCCTTGTATAGGCTAATTTACAGAAAGCTGGGTGTCATAGCTTATTTCTTACGATCAATGATTGATCAGTTTAGAGTGGAAATGTGAAGATACTTGAGCTATGGAGTTGCTTTGTCCAGCTTAATATTTCGATGCGAAGAATACCAAGAAATGGATGGCTTGTTACATGTTTTAACTCTTGTAATTTCTCTTGGATTTAAAATTTAATTAGAAGAACGTAACTTTTTTGTTTGATTATCTGGGTTGGGAAATGGTTAAATGAGCTTAGTTACTCAATTCGGTAAACCAGAAGCAGCAGGTTCAGCACTCATGGATCATTATATATGTGTGTTCTTGTGTGTATATAGAGCACCACCCCACGGAAGGTTGGGTGGGGGAGTGACCATTATTGTCTAAAGTGTTCCTTGGTTTAACTGCTTACCCCAAAGAAATATTTTCCATTGCATGCCTTGATGATCTCTAAGTCAAGATTTGATTACTCGAGTTCCCTTTCAAGGTCTTAAATGGTGCATGTTCAAATATGGGGAAGTGTAAGATATTGGTGTATATTGCAACTTATCTCAGCACCGTGTCTGTGTATGTATGAATAGTTTATTCAAATGTAATGAGAAAAAGCATTATCACTCTAATTAAAACTAAAAATCCATATATTCCATCACTTAAATATCACGATATCATACACAAAATAATTGCATTTTAGATAATGCAACAAAATTTGTAAAATAGTGAAATATGCATATGTATTAGAGTTGAGAGCTAAACTCAGGGCATTTATACTGAATAATTGTCTCTTAACCTGAAAGAACTATTTTGGTTCAAGTCGTCATTGAAGACTGAGTGAAAATCCCATGATTAGATCTTTGTTACAATTAGAAAGGAAGGTAAACTTCGGCATCATTTGCTTCTGGCGGAGTTTGAAATAATATCTTGAAAGTGAGTATTGTTAAGTACAATTGTCATATTTATCGTAAATTTACACTGATACTTCAAAGGGTCTGATTTTGAAAGGAATATTTGTTACTGACTCTTTTGATTAATTAAAATATATGGAAGTTCTGACTGAATGTTTTTCTTATTTCAGACAAGTTGAAATAAGACCTCAACTTTTACACTTTCTTTGATGTTTCATTGGACATCCATGTATACACAGAATTTTTCATAGTTCATATATTTTCTTAAATTTTTCTGTAGGCCATTGTCGATATGGTGTGGACCTTGCAAAGCAGTTGACAACCTCTCTGCAAAATGTTCTAGTGAGCTGCGGGAGTGTAAGAATATCTTTCACAAGGAGAACACCTGAGAAGGTATTACACCATTGTACAGTTTTTCTTGTACATTTCCAATTAGTCCTTGGTTCTATGTTATTTATTTTTTTCTGGTCTTATCAACAGATTTCCAACATTATACTGAAAGAACTTGGAAACCATCCTAAAATTTATATCTGGAATTGTGAAGGTAATTTATGTTTGTTTTTTTTTTCTTTCTTCAATTTAAAAGTGACGGGTAATGTGTAACTAATTCTGGAAAATGATCCATTGATTATTTATGTTTCTTTTTCAGAACCAAATCCGCACATGGGCCATTTAGCTTGGGCTGATGCTTTTGTCATTACGGCTGATTCTGTCAGTATGTTGAGTGAAGCTTGCAGCACCGGGTATGTTTGAGGAGAATTTCCTGGGTGGTTTTCATTTTGACTTACTGTATTCATATTATTTAGTAAAATTTTGTTTTGTGCAGGAAGCCTGTGTATGTCATTGGAGCTGAACGTTGTACCTGGAAGTTTGTGGAGTTCCATAAATCTCTGAGGGAACGAGGTCTGGTGCGGCCGTTTACTGGTCTTGAGGATGTAAGTTAAACACCTGTTAATTTTTGTCCCAAACTTCATATTTAAAAAAATGGTATAAGGATATTTTATTAACAAAGACGTGTATACCTAATAATTTTTTCCCTCTTTGAACCTGTGTATCTTGCTGTCTTTCTTTATGGATTAAGGTTTGGATTCACCCCTGAAACCTTTATGTATCTCCATATCATTTTTTCTATCCCCCGTTACAATGTTTGTCCTACAATTAGAAAAGAAAAGGAAAAAACGAGTCGGACCCATTTGTGTTTGACCTACCCAATCTTCAGAATGGTTCCCAACTGTGATGTCACTAAATAGATGAACTAAAAGTATGGATGCAGTGTTTTAGGGTGATTCTATTTACACATTACTAATACTTTCAGTACACATCACTAATAGATTAAATTTATATTCCAATAATATCCTCCAATAAAATGACCATTAAGGACAGCATGAGGTGTATTCTACCCATTCAAAAATTTTATATTTAAAAACACAAAATACTCTTCACACACCATCATTCCTATAGAGTTTAGGGTTTAACATATAAACATTGTATTTCTTCATCATCTTCACTATTAACATACACTAATGATATCATTCATTATCAATTAGCTCACTTCATTTTCTTCTCCATTATACTTATTTTTCAAACTCAAAACATTATTGTCTTTAAAGATTTATGATTTAAGATTATTGAAATAAATCAGTTTTGAAGATTTGCACATAATGGATGACACTGAAATGGTTGGTTCAGATATAAATATTGAAAACGTTGATTTGAACATTGAAAATGTTAATTTATGACTTCATTTTCTGGTTTTTTATTATCTCGTTCATATGTTGGGAAGTTTGTTCGTCGTGTTCGAATAACCATAGTTGAACTTTTTAACAATGTCCAATTATTCATATCTGAACAAAACAATTTTGCTCAAATCATTAAGATTGACCAAATATTAAATTTTTATACATAAAAAATTGAATATTTTAAGTTAGTTCGGTTAAAATAAATTAAATTTTTATTCATTGTACAGATATAAAATTTTGAACACATTAGGTTTGTTCAACTCTGTATTTATAAACATGATGAAATTGATGAATTTGAAATGACGATGAGCGACGAAAGTTCAAGACTGACAATGAAGATGAACGGCGAAGATGGAGGACGAATGAACACTAATCAGTGATCTAAAACGACGAGACGACGAGATGAGAAACGACGAGAGTTCAACACCAACTATAGAGATCAACGCCGACGAAGATGGAGGTCGGCGATGGAGATTAAGACCGACGAAGATGGTCTTTGTTGGTCTCTGTTCTAAAGATTTTGGGGTTTTTGTTGTGTGTAGTGATGAAAATGAAGAGTTTTTGGTGTGTGTAATAGTGTGTATTCAAATAGCTAGTGGTGTGTTAATATAGGGTTAGTAATGGAAAGTTAAGGTGTGAACTAATATATTTTTGAATCCTAAAAATTATTTTGTGTGTACTAAGTAATGGTGTGTATTGAATTATACGTGGTGTGTATATAGAATCATCCAGTGTTTTATTTATTTATTTTCTCTTTTGAAATTAAAATTCATTTTTCTGGTTAAAAATGTTGAGGTAACGCTTGTAGAAATACATTTGTAGGTACTTATGCTAGATGCGAATTGCAAAGGTCTTGTTGGCCAGTTCTCCTTCCTTTTACACCAATAATCTTGAAATAGTTGGATTTTGTTTTTACCAATTATTATAAGTAACATTTCTCTTATGTAAAATATTCAGATGTCAGAAAGCTGGAGCTACCCTCCCTTAAATGACACTGCTGAAGCAGCCAATAGGGTTCATGAAGCACTTGCAGAGCGTGGATGGAGATTGCGGCCATAGAGATTTGTCGCTCTTTTTCTTTTTCTTTTTTAATGCAGAGTCTGTTGTTTTAGATGTCTTGTATTTATAGTGTTCTTTGCTCAAAAGCATGTCTGGTTAACACTGAGTTACATAGCAAATTGATCATATACATGATAAGCATATTGGTTAATTCTTTTTTCCCGTTTGGGGGTTTTGAGGTGTGTAAAATAAATGTCAGCGGCATAATATATTTGGCTTGTAAAAATAGGAAGAGGTACGCTTGTATTCAATAGTGTAAAAGCATGAGTATTTTTTGGGAAAGAATTATTCGGTTTTGTCATGTGAGAATCCTATGAAATGAAAGACAAATTTCTCATTTTTGTTCTGTGTTTTCAAATTAGTGTATTTCTTGTTTTTGTAGTATTCATATTCATAAAATTTTGTTTTCCTTGTGTGTGTTCTTCATAGCACCCATCTGAAGTAAGGATTTGGTATATAGTTACTGAACATTATAGCTTCAAAAGCAAGGTGATACAGAGGAATTTGCAGTAGGGAGATCATGTAAGAAGCTGGAAAGTGTTTGGCAATTTAAATATACAAAAGACCCAAACAGGCCCTCAAGTTTTTGAACAAGTTTCTAGGTTTGTTCCCAAAAAAAAAAAACTTGTCGAACCAGTAAATTGATCTGGACCGGTTGAAATCGTACAGTTTGGTTCAGTTTTTAAAAGGATTGTGAGGCTTTGGTTTCAAGTTATCAAGAACGGTTGATTATGATTCAATTTCTGGATTAAGCTAAAAAAAAATTAAATTTCCCATTTATTAGATTTTTACACTTTATATTATTAGTTTTTTTTTTTTTTTTTTCACTCGTTACTACACTAACCATTGGAGAGCGCACAAGGCCATCAGCATAGTACCTAGTATATGAATAATTTGATGTGTATTTTTACACATTTTATAAAGTTGATTTGGAGGATTATAAAAATTTTAAGTATCCTTATAAATTTTTGGAATGTTCATATAGGTTAAATTATTTTTTTTATTGAACTATATAGCATGGACACACTTGATTAAATTTTGAGCTCAGAACAGTAAAATAGAACCATTTTTTTGTGATTTAGTTTGGATTCGGTTTGCCATAATTCAATTTAATTCCTAAATTTTTAGAATTGTGGAAATTGATTTAATTTTAACTGTTCCATTGACACTCCCTAAAAGTTTTTATTTGGAGTGGTTGGAACCATTCTATAGGAAAGAAGACTTTGCACATCACAAATCAGAACTATTATATGTAATTTGTTGTTAACATTTCAGTTGCCAAAGTGCATCAAAAAGAAAAACAACAATGATTAATCCCACTAAAAATATCACCACTAATAGCACTAATGCATTAAAAAAGTAAAAAAAAGTAAAAAAAATACAACTCCAAAACCAAAACATCACATCATTAATGACGGGACCCACTGCCACCTAATTAGTGGGAGCACTAATTAGTGCTCCCAAGCATTTTTCAAAGAAAAAATAGGTAGTGCTCTTTCATAACATATTGATGCAAGAAATGCTTTGTCTTTCTCCAAAGTGGAGCAAGTTGGCAACAACTCCTCTCTATTCTCTACAACATCATCCAAACCATCACAAAAAACAAAACTAACCCACCAAGCAACAAACTCTCTCTTCTTCAAACACCCTATATAACTCTCATCCCAACAATCCAATATTTCATGTAGCTCTCAGTTATCTTCAGCAGCGCTACTCTTCTCATTCCCATTCTTGTTTTCATTTGATTAGAAATCCCATTCCCATGGAGGCAACGAAGAGCAGCGATGAAACGACAATCCATATTCCAGAATCCACGTCTACCAGAGGTAAAGCTGCTGCCACTGTTCCGGCAATGGTAGTTTCTACGAAAGCTACACAAGCAGGGGGATGGAAGAGAGGGGTCGCCATTTTCGACTTCATACTGAGGCTTTGTGCCATTGCAGCTGCTTTGGCTGCCACTGCTACTATGGGGACTACTGACCAAACCCTTCCTTTCTTCACACAGTTCTTCCAGTTCCAAGCTAGCTATGACGACCTTCCTGCTTTTCAGTACGTACCATTCACTTTTAACATTTTAAAGAACTTTAGAAATACAGATACCGATAACAAAATTAGACACAATCGTCTCATATAATACTGGGTCTCACCATTTTATGTGAAGGAGTTGTGTCCGATTCTGTAATGAGCCTCTATGCAAGTTGAAGAACTGTAACATTTTTGCTTTAGATTTTGCAAGCTGTGTGGACAGGGAGTTATTTTTAGTGCATGCTTTTAACATAGAAGTGTTTGAGCAATTGGTTAGTACAAGTTGAACTTTATAATTTGTCTACTCAAGAGTAGATAAACCAGACTTTTAATTAATGTGAGAAGTACCCCCTAACATGAGAGACTAAAACAAAATTAGTGTGAAGATCACTTTAAAATTAACAACCCATCACGTTGTCTTTTATTTACAAAAGGATCACCATCATGTCATTCAGATAAGTGATTCCGTAAAAAAATTCTGGAAGACTAGCAGTTTTCTCTTTGTTTTGTGTGGTTGTAGGTTCTTCGTGATCGCGAATGCAGTAGCGAGCGGATACCTCGTCCTCTCCCTACCCTTCTCCATAGTTGGCATTGTTCGCCCCCATTTAACAGGAGTGAGGCTCCTCCTCATCATCTTTGACACGGTGAGTGAGCACTACAAAGCCTAAAAACTTCTCAAACTCCATTAATTTTCTCTCTAAACATTAGTTGACTGGTGAAAAACATATTATTGTTGTTCTAAACATTTCAGGTGATGGTGGCTCTCATCACAGCTGCAGCTGCCGCTGCAGCCTCCATCGTGTACTTAGCACATAGCGGTAATACCAACGCTAATTGGAACCCCATTTGTCAGCAATTCGGCGACTTTTGTCAGAGCGTCAGCGGAGCCGTGGTGGCTTCTTTCATTGCAGCAGCCATCTTCATTTTTCTGGTTATGTTGTCTGCTGTGGCCCTCAAAAGGCATTAAGAAAGGGGCATATATATGCATAATCTCATATGGCATTGTGGACTTGTATTGTATCATATTCTGTTTCATAAGTTGGGGTGGGAGGATGCATGGCATGGGTGGGGCAATTGTGTAATTTGGTTTGCTTTATTTGTGTGCTCAACATAATCAAAATTGTGTATTTGTTGTGTATCAGTCTCTTTTTTCTTTTTGATTTTTATTTCATGTTTTTCTGAAAAGAAAACAAATTTACTATGCTCTTTTTTTCTATGTTGACTAATCAGTTTAATTATCATATAAATAAATAATTAAAAAAAGAAAAGAAAAGAAACAAATTAAACTTGACAACAAAACTTGTCCTTGTTAATAATTAAATGATAAAAATTATTTTACAAAATTGTACCGAGCACATATCTTATATTGAATTTTAAGGCATAACATTAACGTTATGGTAACATAAGGAGAATTGAGGCGAACCCGGGAAAAATCCAAGCTATACTCAAAAGAGTTGCAATGATGTTCAACAGTTGATTGAAAGAGTGACTACCTTTGACATATTCATATGTACCTTGTACGACTCACAAATGCTTACCCTTCTTTGGAATGCTCAAAAAGACCTTTGAGTGGACAAAAGAAATGTGAAGAAACATATCTTAGTTCCCCATTGTTGCTCTCCTGAATGAAGCCATGAGAAGATCTATTTTTGTTTCTTGAAGTATCCTTGACTGTTCTAAGCTCGATGTTGATTAGAGAAGAAGATGGAGTGCAATGTCATACTAGGCGAGCGTCGAGCAAGGTTGAGTACTTACCCAGGATGGAAAAATTGGCTTCTGCTATGACAACATCAGCAAGAAGGCTACATCATATTTCCAAGCGCATTTGATTGTGGTCTTGATCGACTAGCCTCTCAAGCAGATTTTACATAAGTCTTAAAATGTTTGGAAGACTGGTCTTGGAAACAGGTTATTTTAGTAATTTTTTAATTTTTTATGAAAAAATGTTTAGAAAAGTAGAAAAAGTGATGCAATAATTTATAGTGACTTTTAAAACTTTTTGACTAAAATATATAGGAGTCTTTTGGCAATAAGCTAAAAAAGCCAGCTTTTTGGTTTTTTTAGTTTTTTTTAGCCAAAAAAGCTACCAAAAAAGTCAAAAAATAAAAAAGTCAGCTTTTTACCAACTTTCCAAAATACCAAATAATTGAAAAACAAGGCATGAGGTAAGGAGTTTCCTTTTTTTATTTTTATTTTTATTGCCTAAAGTTAATAGTTGTTAGATTAGCAACTTCAAAGAGTTGAATTTCCACTTCTCCTTGCAAGCATTTAAGACTTGTCCTTGGCAGCTAAAGGGCAGTAGTGACTCGACCATTAGGCAAGCTAGACAATTCCCTAAGACACCTCAAAAAAGAAAGCTATTTTTGCATTTAATATCATGTATATACATAATAAAAACAACGATGGAAAAAAAGAAGCATTTATGGCAAGGAAGCCAAGTATATGAAGCAATCGTAGCTAGGTTACAACCAGCAACAACTATGAGGAATTAAGCAGTCCTCAAAAAAAGAAAAAAAAGAAATGAGGAATTAAGCATGTATCCATAATGACTCTCCATTTTAGTAGATAAGCAACCTAGTGGAAAATTTGAAGTCTAAGGTGAAAAAATGAAAGCCTATTGTGATAGGGTTGAAGAATTTAAGAAGCGCTAAAACAACTACAACGAGAAGAAAACATGAAAGGGTACACTATATAGTTCAATTGGCTTCAACATGTGCATAAGGCTATCCCCATAAAATACTTAGTTGAATTCAGTGACCAGACATTAAGAGCAAAGTCTTTCGTCACATGGCCATTTAACTCTCAACTTAAAACCAAGCCCCATTTCCCCCTCCCCCTAATATCAATTCCCACCTTTCTCTGTAACGCCAGTTAAAAAAAAATAAAAATAAAAATAAAAATAAAAATAAAAAATTCTCCATTCAGTATTTCTAAAATACCATGTGGCCATGTGACCATGTGCACGTGCCAATCAATAATATGGAGCATGTCACCATTTAATAACAATGATTGAAAATAACCGAAGATGTTAATACAAGATAATAAACTTACTAATGGAAGGCCAGCTTCATCAGAATTGTTGTCATTGTCTTATATTGCTCTGTATGGTGAAATAATTGATGAAGAGTAATACGTTGGATTTAAAAAGAGTTTTCTAGTTCAAGATTTTTGATTCTAGAAGGTTTACGATGGTGCTGAAAAGGTGCATTCAGGATTTAAGATGGTTATGAAACATAACATGTTTAGGGTTTATGTTAGTTAGTTATGAAGAGTAACAAGTTAAGGGTTCAAAAAGGTAGAACACATATAACTAGAGGTAGAGGTGAGGGAGTGGATGAGTAAATAATATTGTAGAGTATTAGTTTTTATTTTCCCACCTTTCTCTGTAACGCCAGTTAAAAAAAAATAAAAATAAAAATAAAAATAAAAATAAAAAATTCTCCATTCAGTATTTCTAAAATACCATGTGGCCATGTGACCATGTGCACGTGCCAATCAATAATATGGAGCATGTCACCATTTAATAACAATGATTGAAAATAACCGAAGATATTAATGCAAGATAATAAACTTACCAATGGAAGGCCAGCTTCATCTCATCCACCCAAAAAAAAAAAGGCCAGCTTCATCAGAATTGTTGTCATTGTCTTTTATTGTTCTATAAGGTGAAGTAATTGATGAAGAGTAATACATTGGATTTAAAAAGAGTTTTTTAGTTCAAGATTTTTGGTTCTAGAAGGTTTGTGATGGTGATGAAGAAGATATATTCACGATTTAAGATGGTTATGAAACATAACTTGTTTAGAGTTTATGTTGATTAATTATGAAGAGTAACAAGTTAAGGGTTCAGAAAGTTAGAGCACATATACCTAGAGGTAGAGGTGAGGGAGTGGATGGATAAATAATATTGTAGAGTATTAGTTTTTATTTAATAGGAAGATATCTCATTAAATGATATATTTTAAAGTAATTTCATTTTAAAGTATAATTATAATAAAAAAATTAAAAAATTTAAACAAGTGCTAATAAATACTTTTAATATATTAATAGTATATACTAAAAATATGGGTAAAATTACAAATACACATCTTGAGTTTTGTTAAAATACGAATTGTCCCATATAGTTTGGAAAATTATAAATATTTTTTGTCAGAATTTTTTATTTAACAAAATTAATTAAAAAATTGAAATTTTTAACTGTTCACCTATACAATAAAAAAATTATCTGAATTATTAATTGAAATAAAATTTTAGCATTATTAAAAACTATTAATTAATTTGATGATTTATTAATAAAAGACATATTTGTTATGAAATTAGAAATCTTAAGGAGCATAATATAATTTTCAGAATCATAAAAAATAAATTATAATTTCAAAAAATTTCAAAAGATGTATTTACAATTTATCTCAAAAAATATTAACAATATACAAATAAAATCATATATTAAAAGTATTAATGATATGTAAATAAAATCCTATAATATACAAATAAAATCAATATTAAAAATATTAATAATATGTAAATAGAATCCTATAATATACAAATAAAATCATGTACTAAAAGTATTAATGGTAAGTAAATAGAATCCACCCATCAAAATTCACATGTGCAGGTAACATGAAATTTCCCCATCCTTCGCCATTAAGTTAACCTCTTGTTTGGCTTCCGCGAAAACCCAATCTTGTTCTTCCTTTCTATACGCTCTCTCAGCTCAGAATTTAGATATCTCAGTCATTCTCTACCTCATACACGACTTCGACATCACTCGGGTGAGTCTCTGAATTCTCCCAACTCTTCCAAGGTTTTCTCTTTTGCCCCATTTTCAGTTTCTTTGTTTGGCTCTTCAATTGATGTCTGATTTTCTTGGATATTGAAAAAAATTAGAAATGACTTTGATTTGATGCCTTTTGGGTTGAATTGGGTATCTTTTAATGTTTTGATTTTTGTAAATTTATTGCAGTTAGGGCTTGTGGAAGGTGAATTATCGAACCTTTTTTCGTGTAAATTGGGATTCTTTAGAGGGATTTGTCTCATGATAATTGTTAGGGGAATGCAGAGATCGATTCGCGAGGATCAGACGGCACTGTGCTGTATCAAATCATTCAACCGAGGGATTGCCGTGAATCTACCCAAGGCAAGAACACGAGACAAATTGAAAATTAGGGTTTTATACCTTTAATTTTGGGTTTCTTGAAGTTTCAGGTTGACAAAGAAACAAAATGACTCGGATTTTGGTTCAGCGAGGTTCAGCTGGCCCATCATCGTCGAACCCTAGCAGGTCATCTTCATTACCCAGCTCTTCTACTTCAACTTCCGCTCCACCCCAGCCTCAGGTTGAAATTGGAGAGGAAGTGCAAGAACAGGTTGTTGTGGAAAATTTTGTAGAGTGTTTTGGTAATGATGATCATAAGTCAGCAAAAACCAATGATCTTTTGCCCGAGGATGACCAAGATAATGATCAAACTGTTGATAGTGAGATAGTTGGGAATGATGATGTTGGTGCAGGGGATTTGACGAGGGCATTGGGTGCGCTGCGAATTATGGAAAATGAAACTGAGGGTTCCGGCTGTGATTCTTTGCAGACGGTTACTGGCAGCTCGTATCCACCTCCACCTCCAGTCCCACCGCCAAAACCTTCTTCAGGAAACTCGAATTCTAGGAGATTTTTGTCTGGTAGTTCAAATTCTCCACGGATTGGACCGTCTAGAAGAACAGCTGCGTGGCCGATTGTTTCGACTAGGACTTCACCAACTGGGTCTAGACCTTCTTCGCCGAGGTCTCATTGTGAAAGTGAAGGTTATAATAGTGCTGATGAGCAGGGTCCTTGCTTTGGCCCCTGCTACGATGATGCAGTAAGTAGTTTTTTCTTTTTTTCTTTCAATTTTAACATTTTTTCTGTTAAATGAGAGATATCTGGGGTAATGAACTAGTTAGGCAATTTAAGTGCTCATCTACAAACCCTTGACTTCACCGGTAATTGATGGCTCACGCACTTAAGGATCAAGCTGCATGAAGATATGTGGAAGTAACTTCTCTTTCTTTGCCGTGGTTTATTGCACAATTGCTCATAGTCATATGAGCTAAACTTTCTTTGTCCAAATATAAATTTTCATAAATGCATTGTTCAATGTGAAGTGAAAGTGATGCCTGCACCTTGTGGCTAATGCGTAATTTGCCCTTCTCCTATTGAATGCTATGCTTGAGATATCAATTGCATCTTCAATTTGAAGTCCCTTAATTGTTTAACTCCAATGTAGGCTTATGTATCAGGATAAGATCAAGGCTATCCTTCAAGCCTACAGTATCGAAGCATCTTAGATATGTAGTTTATTAACATTTGCTAATTTCCATAGTTTTCTATCCAATGTGAAAAATAGCTTAATCTTTTGACTGGCCAATTCAATTATTGTCAAATTGACATGTTGCATTTTTTTCAGGAGAGAGAACGCCAGTTTGAGATCGATGTAAGACGGGCAAAAGGTTTAGAAGTCAAACGAATGCTGGAGGATGGAAACTGCCTCTTTCGTGCTGTTGCAGATCAAGTATATGGGGATTGTGAAGCTTATAATTTGGTTAGACAAATGTGTATTGATTACATGGTAGGCTCTTTCAATGCTTACTTTCAGAGTACACATCTTCAGTCTATATTTTTATGTCTTGGAAAAAACAACACTGCTAGAATGACCATTTATTTTTACCATATTTTTCTTATCACCTTGTGGCCCAACATTCCCACCAAGAGAGAGTAGGGGTGGGAGATAAATTTGTAAAGCATCAGAGGATGTCTCACAATGTGCTTGTGAGACAACATTCTAGAGTCTCTCTTTGTAACCAGGTCTGATTGTTGGTTTAAGAATATATTATTTTTTATTTTTTAGAAACCATAGGTTGTTGAGTTGAGGTAATTGCACAAATAAAGGAAAATGTATTATTCACAAGTTTGTAGAATATAACAGGGAAAGCATTAAACAAATGCTAATGTATGAGGAAACCCAAATAGCCAACTCCATCTAACTCTATAACTCAGCTGAAGGGGAATAAGGATGTCCATTAAACTTTTGGAACTTCATAGATCCTCTTTAGATAACCTAGAGAGATGCAAATAGTATTGAATGGGGTGAGAAACAAGCTAATAGTCCTGGGTGCGTTGCCTATCCTACATAATAGTAATCCACATTAGCAATGGGGTAGAAATGTTGAATTGTTACTTGGTTTTATGAAATGATGCAAGAATTCACCCTTATCATGTGACTTGTCATTTGCTGCTCTTTCATTGTATGAGCGGATCGTATGGATTGAGAATGATAAGTTTCACATGTGATTCAAGTTTTTGTAATTTATCCAATAATAATATCCACATTTCTATCTACTTAGCTTGATTGTGTCTTGACAAAGTTGTTTCTTTCAAGTTGTCAATGAAAGCTAAAATTTTTGCCTCCGCTCTACTGATACGTCCCTTTTTGTTGGCCATAGAGCATACTATGGTTCGTAGAAGTATCTTCTTTATTACATTGGAATAAAGAAACCATGGTTTAATTACCCATGATAAAATATGAAGTTGTTTTTTAGATTCTTTAGACATCAAGATTTTGTGTGTAATAGCTCATTGATCGAGCACTCTTTCGCTGAAGATGAACGGGCTAAGTGATTTGTCGAAGTTGTGGGATGGTTTAATGATACAAGAAGGAAGTTCTCTAAAGGCAACTGGAATACTTTTGGTAGCAACATGCTATTGGGTGGTGGTCTCGGTTATGGGGTCAAATCAATACATTCTAACAACCGATCAATGTTGTACAATTCGAAATCAATGAACTGCCGGGGGCTTGTATGAGAGTTGCTGACTTTGTTTGGTTTGTTTTTGAGAAACAAATTTTGGAGAAAATTTTCTAAAATTTTGTTTGCTTTAGTGATTTTGAAAAAAAATTTCCAAAATCACTTTCTATCTCCTACACATCAATCAATCACTTTTTCTCTCTCCTCTCTCATTCTCAATCACTTTTTCTCTCACACACTTCTACTCAACTACAACAAAATATCACATCATTCTAAAACTCCCACACTCCAAAATTATTTTCAAAATATACAACCGAACAAACTAAAAAAAATTTTGAACTCTTTAAACTCTCTTCCCAAAATTTTTTTAAAAAATTTATCACCCAAAACCAAACCAAACAAATTTGCCCTCTCTCTCTCTTCTTTTTTTTTTTTTTTAAAAAAAAAGTGTATAAATGTAGGAACACTTTTTCCCCCAATCTACTGCAAGAAAGGGATAATGTGCAACTTCAAGATGTTAATTGATTGCAGAGGGAGAGTAGACATTACCCTAACATATAAGTATGTTTGGACAAAAGCCTTTTGATGGGGATCTGCACCTTAGAAAGTATGGTTGAGAAAGAAGGGGGTAAATTTTTTTTTTTTATTTCAAAAATGGTCTATTTGAACCCGACCATTGTACCAATCAGTCTAGCCATTTCTGACCCATGATCAGTGGGGACTACTTGTAATTGATTTTCTTATAACTTTTTATTTTGAAATGGACTTGAGTTTCCATAATAGCATACTCATAAATTTACAAATGGAGGTTGGTTCAGTAATTGCACCGTGGCCATTTGGCTTTCTTTTGTTCTTACTGACTTACTTGTTTAGAATTAGTTAATTCCTAAATAGTTTGGAAATCCTTCAGTTGGCCAAGAGTTGTCAAAGATGATAATTTTTATATTGGATCAAGTGCTCTTCTGATAATTGAACAACCTTGTTTAACATTAACTACGTGCATTTGCTCGAGGTGGGGCTCCTTGTGAGTCTTGGTAAATCTTGTCTTCTTCTTCTCCTTCTCCTTCACTGCCATGTAAAATTATTTTTATTTATCAGCCTCTTAAGTAATCCTATTTTAAGTTTCACAATCCCTGACCTTTAATGATTAAACCCTTGCACTTGTTACCCAACAATCTGATTCTGATTTTTACTTGCTGCACCAATTTTCTAGGAAGCTTTTTGTTTTAATTATATACCAAATTTAACAACAAATCTTAGCCAAATTAACCCCTTTTAGATACCTATTCCTAATTTCATATTTTCACCCAGAACCCTTAGAATTTGAAACCCTATGCACCATTTGTTGATTGTGGGTAGCGTTAACAACTGTACTTAGGGATCCATCCTCCATTAGGTTTGGTATGAAATTCAAAAATTCTTGGCTTGCATAAATTTGGTTTGATGGAATTGGTATTTGGACTTTTTGGTATGGATAGAATTTAAAGTGGGATTTGATTTGTTAGGATTTAAAAGGAAAAAAGGCCAATTGGAAATCCCATGGAAAATTATTAGATTTTAAATAATTGGAATTAATAAAACCTAATCCAATATGATTATTCACATTCTCTCCCTTTATTCAAGTTAATGCAATAGGGGCATTATTTTCTATAATTTTTTCCTTTTCGATTTCTTAACAAACCAAACAAACTAAAAATGGAATTATTTCCTTTCAATTCCAATTACTTCCAAATGCAAAAAATGGATTTCTATTCCAGTCCTTTCCCATGTTGAAATCCAATTTCTAAAAGAATTTGGTTGCAAACATATTGTGAAACTCTTGAAGAGCTACCAAGAAAAACATTAACTTGATTATGAGACAACTTGTCTGCTTCGGCTCGGCATATCAGGTTTTAAATATCGATTGACACATATTGGTTTTTTTGCCTCCCAAAATAGAAAGTTTTTTCACTCTTGTGGGACCCACATACTAAAGTTTAGGCTTCCAAAGCCAATATACTTTTGTAGTTGTTCAATAGATGTAGCATCAAAATCCTCTATTGACTATAAAAGTCCGATGCTGGGATATTCTGTTTTGCATTAACTATGCTCAAATGTAAGCAAGGCTTTTGTGGAGACAATTGAACAAGCTTCGAGAAACTACATAAATATCAGGATACTACAAGCCTTTGATAGCTTTGAACAATTAATATTCTTGTACTAACCCTATATTTATGCTCAAAAGCCTAGGCTTTTGATCCTAAAACCTTAACCCTTGTTACCATCATTTTAGTTCCCAAGCATTTTGCCTTGTGCCAAAATATTGAGCAAGTATTTTTCTTTTATTTTTAAACCAAGACTAACCTCAAACTCCAACCAATTTCATACATATTCTTCCTTATAGCCTTAATTGTAAATTGTCCTAAGTTGATTATGAATATAGCTGGGTCGTGAGGACTCTGAGTACTATATTGGGCTTCTTTACTGATTCCATAGACATTTTATGACTTGAATTTTTGTTTATGGATATTGCTTCTTTTCTTTTCTTTTCTTTTCTTTTTTTTTTTTTTTTTGCATACACTGATGGTGTGCAGTGTAGATTTTTCCCTTCCTTAGTTTCTAGCCGTTTTCACTATAGTTTTTTTTTTTTTTTTTTTTTTGGGTTCGTAATTAGTTTTTCCATATTAAAGTTGAGGTGTTTATATGCTATGGTTGCACGTTATTTTGTTTTCTTTATTTTGTAAGACCTACTTGGGATATTTTAGGGTTACTTAGCATAATTTTATGGATGTGCCATTAATGGTTGTGCCAGCCATTTCTTTTGAGTGCATCTATTTTTCTTGGAGTGCTTATATGATTGATCTTTGTTTCTGTCCATGCAGGAGCAGGAGAGAGATCACTTCTCTCAGTTTATAACAGAAGGTTTCATGTCTTATTGCAAAAGGAAGAGAAGAGATAAGGTGTGTGATAGATTTTTGTTGACTGCTTGTTCCTTCTAATGCAAATACAAATAGTACACTCTCTTCATTCATTGCTCACATGATTTTTCCTGGGTTCGTAATTAGTTTTTCCATATTAAAGTTGAGGTGTTTATATGCTATGGTTGCACGTTATTTTGTTTTCTTTATTTTGTAAGACCTGCTTGGGATATTTTAGGGTTACTTAGCATAATTTTATGGATGTGCCATTAATGGTTGTGCCAGCCATTTCTTTTGAGTGCATCTATTTTTCCTGGAGTGCTTATATGATTGATCTTTGTTTCTGTCCATGCAGGAGCAGGAGAGAGATCACTTCTCTCAGTTTATAACAGAAGGTTTCATGTCTTATTGCAAAAGGAAGAGAAGAGATAAGGTGTGTGATAGATTTTTGTTGACTGCTTGTTCCTTCTAATGCAAATACAAATAGTACACTCTCTTTATTCATTGCTCACATGATTTTTCCATTTTTCCTGTTTGATCAGTTCTGATGATATAAAACAAATGCCAAAGATTTTGTGTAGTTGATTCTAGTGGTAGAGCTACTTTGGTAACTTTTTATTATCATTTTTTGTTCCAAAGGCGACAATGGGCTAGCTGATGCTGGAATGACAAGGAGAAAATACAAGTTTGCAAAAGTCATAGTTGCAAGAAATTTTTATTTTTAGGAATTTTAAGGTTCTTTAGTTTCCAAAAGAGTTTCATTCCAAAGTTGGTTAGGAAACTTTTCTTGGGTTGGTCTCTCTGACTGCCAACCCTTTCCTCTCTAAGCTTATCTTGTGTAGACACCCCATTGTGACCAGCCTTAAGACTTGGGCGTTTTGTGTTGATTACCCGATAATGACAATTAGAATGTGTTTCTCATAGAATCCTCAGTAAGAGATGGAATTTAAACTTTAATCTCAACCTTTACACATTTTTTTGGCCAAATTATTTTAGACCTTAAAATCTTCTTTTCAAAATATTTTCTCAAATGTTTCTACAATGTTCCGAGGCTCTAATTTCAACTAAAATATTGCACTTTTCAGTAATCGAGTAAGGACAGTGGAAATAAATGAAAGGGAAGTTAACTCTTTGAAAAAATATTTGGAAACATCTTCTTTATAGGTTTAGGTAGGTTTGGATTTGAAGGAAACAGAAGGGGATGGAAGAAAACTAGTTTAGGAAAAGAATGAGTATCAAATCATTAAGAAGGAAAAGAACAGCCTTTACTAAATTAGGTATATCTCTTTGTACACTTGGAATTTAGATGTGACGCCATCACCATTGGAAAGTAGACTTCTGGGGCTTCAATTTAAACCCAAAAATCACCTAAAACCAAGTCTGGATAAGGTAGATATGCCCATTTGAAGTTGGGCTTAAGAGCAGATTTTGTTGACCTGGCCCAAAGGAAATGAACCGCCTTCACTAAATTAGGCATATCTCTTTGTACACTTGGAATCTAGATGTGAGGCCTCTACCATTGAAAAGGAGACTTCTAGGGCTTCAATTTAGACCTCAGAATCACCTAAAAGCAAGTTCAGATAAGGGAGATATGCCCATTTGAAATTGGGCTTAAGAGTAGATTTTGTTGACCTAGCCCAAGAGAAATGAACAGCTTTCACTAAATTAGACACATCTCTTTGTAAACTTGGAATTTAAATGTGAGGCCACCATCATTAGAAAGTAGACTTTTGGGACATCAATTTAGACCTAAGAATCACCTAAAGTCCGGATAAGGGAGATATGCTCGTTTAAAGTTTGGCTTAATAGCAAATTTTGTTGACTCGACCCAAAATAGCAATAATCCCGTTTTTCTTGGTTTTAGCTCGGTTGAGACATCCCATTTACCTATTTTCTAATCCATTCAAGTGCACCCATAGATAGATAAGAAGTGGGGATGGTGAATTATTATAACACTTTAAATATTACAAATTTAAGGGAGATGAATAAATATTACAACATAGTATAAAAATCCTCACAAACACTCAAAATAAAATAAACATAAGGAAACAGCAGCTTCAAGTGCTTCAAAGACCATCGAAGGTTGATCTTCTCAACGTCGGAAGGTTGCCCGGTTTTGCCTAGAGGTCGTGGGCACGGTCATGAAGGTCGTGGGTGCGATGGTGTACTTTTAGGTGGCTACTCGACCAACTAACGGGCCGGGTAGCCCGGTAGGCTCGGCCAAACTCTGTTTTCTTAGATTTTCACAACAAAAACAGAACTAACAATAATATATATGGGAGTTTTAACTCTCCACTTTCAATTAGATTACAACAATATATAATATAATAAGAAATCAAAGCAAAAGAATAAAGTAATCAAAACAAAAGAGCAAAATAAGTAAGAAATGCAAGAAAATGAAAAGTTTGTGAAATTCACCTTCCAAGAAAAGAATGAACTCCTTAGTTCACAAACTCCCTCTTGATCACCTTCAAGTGTAGGAAGTGTGTTTTCAATTCTCAATTCGAAATTATGGAGTTTATGGTATGGAAAATGACTAACTCTTTAGTTTTTCTCACTTTCAATCACTAAACACTCTTCTTTATGATCAAGCCAATTGATCTTTGGCAATATCAGAATTTTTGGAGTGGTTTTGGTGTATGAAAATGAGAAATTTCAGTAGCTATGGAAGCTTTGAAGTGTTTTGACTCAAGGTTGCAATGTAGACAATTTTTCATCTTTTGCTCTCTTTTCTCTCTAACTCTCTCGAATGATTTTTCTTCTCCTTCATTCCATCCTCTCCCTCTTCAATATCTGATCTGAATGTATAAGCCATGTAGGAATAAACAAGTCAAGAAATAGGGGACAAGGTGGGAGACAAAGGTGATAGGCATGACAAAGATGACAATGATGATCAAGACTTTGTTGTTTTTGATTTATCTTTTATGACACGGCCAAAATCTCTTTTGATAATTGAGGGTGAGTGGAGATAATGGAGAATGAGTGGATGCACTTGAATGGATCAGAAAATAGGTAAATGGGGTGTCCCAACCAAGCCAAAACTAAGAAAAATGGGGCTGCTGCTGTTTTGGGCTGAGTCAACAAAATCTGCTATTAAGCCCAATTTCAAACGGGCATATCTCCCTTATTCGAACTTGGTTTTAGGTGATTCTTGGGTCTAAATTGAAGCCCCAGAAGTTTACTTTCCAATGGTGGTGGCCTCATATTTAAATTCCAAATGTACAAAGAGATATGTCTAATTTAGTGAAGGTTGTTCATTTCTCTTGGACCAGGTTAACAAAATCCGCTCTTAAGCCTAACTTCAAATGGGCATATCTCCCTTATCTGGACTTGTTTTTAGGTGATTCTTGGGTCTAAATTGAAGCCCCAGAAGTCTCCTTTCCAATGGGGGTGGCCTCACATCTAAATTCTAAGTGTATAAATAGATATGCCTAATTTAGTGAAGGCTGTTCATTTCCCTCGGGCTAGGTCAACAAAATCTGCTTTTAAGCCCAACTTCGAATGGGCATATCTCCCTTATCCGGACTTGGTTTTAGGTGGTTCTTGGGTCTAAATTGAAGCTCCAAAAGTCTACTTTTCAGTGGTGATGGCGTCACATCTAAATTTCAAATGTACAAAAAGATATGCCTAATTTAGTAAAGGTTTTTCATTTCATTCTTAATGATTTGATGCTCATTCTTTTCCTAAACCAGTTTTCTTCCATCCCCTCATGTTTCCTTTAAATCCAAACCTATAAAGAAGATGTTTTTAAATATTTTTGAAAGAGCTCACCTCGCTTCTATTTATTTCCACGTTGTCCTTACTCGGTTTACTGAAAAGTGCAATATTTTAATTGAAATGGGAGCCTCGGAATATCGTAGAAACATTTGAGAAAATATTTTGAAAGGAGGATTTTAAGGTCTAAAATAGTTTGGCCAAAAAAATGTGGAGGTTGGGATTAAAGTACAAATTCCATCTCTCTTACTGAGGATTCTGTGAGAAACACATTCTGATTATCATCATCGGGTAATCAACGGAAAGCGTTCAATTTTTAGGGCTGGTTAAAATGGGATGTCTACAGTTGCCCCTCTTTGACAGAGCTCGAAATCATTTCATAACTTGAGTTTGTGTCAAAGCCCGATGACGACCTTTTTGACAAGGCCGTAAGATTTGGGCAAACAAACAAGATGCAAGTGGTTCAACGAGAAGGTTGCTGACGTATCCCTTTGCAAATAATCAAACTTGCGTAGTTCAGGGCAAGATGCAAAATGATATGCACAAAAATATTGGACTTGCACGCCTCGTGAAGCTGATTATTTTTGAAAAACTTATGATCGTGCAATGAGCAATGTGATAACATGAATGAAAAGCTTAAATCTAAACAAAAAGCAAGCCATGTCTCACACGGAAAGAAGTAAGCGAATAGCGAGACGATGCAACCATTTAGAAATATCTCCTTGCATTGCATATGAAAAGAGAGGGAAGATCTCAACCAAGAGAAATCAACAACCTAACGCGTCTCACGCGAAAGGAGGAAAGGTGGTGTGAACAACAGGCGCAACTGATGTTTTTAACCGAATAAATCAACAATCTAACGCGTCTCACGCGAAAGGAGGAAAGATGGTGTGAACAAATCCAAATGCGTCTCACGGGGGAGGAGAAATAGTGAACAAATCAAAACGCGTATCATGCAAGAGAAGAAATAGTGAACAGATCAAAACGCGTATCACGCAAGAGAAGAAATAGTGAACAAATCCAAATGCGTCTCACACGAAAGGAGAAAAGTGAACTTAAGATCCAAACGCATCTCACGCGAGAGGAGAAAAGTGAACTTGAGATCCAAACGCGTCTCACACGAGAGGAGGAATAGTGAACTTGAGATCCAAACGCGTCTCACGCGAGAGGAGGAAAGCGAACTTGAGATCCAAACGCGTCTCACGCGAGAGGAGGAATAGTGAACTTGAGATCCAAACGCATCTCACGCGAGAGGAGGAAAGTGAACTTGAGATCCAAATGCATCTCGCGAGAGGAGGAAAATGAACTTGAGATCCAAACGCGTCTCA